GGAAGTGGGTTGTGTCTTTGGTGGGTTGTCACAGGAAGTAGCAGATTGTATCACTGGTGAGACAGATGGAGGGAGGGGTGGAAGAGATGGATTAGGGGGCTGTAGGGAGAGCATGGGAGGCAAATAAGGAGAGGAGGGGGAGCAATGATTGAAAATTTGTATCGGCCACCTTTGCTTCTCTGAATCTCAGCTCCTAATTATTATTATTATTAGTACATTAGAATTATTTTATTTATTAGTCAGTTCCTTAAACTTAGTGTTTTGTGTGAACGTTGTGTACAGGAAGCAGTTTTGCATAATTGTAGTGAGAATACCTGGTTGATTTCACTGTTTTCTTCCTTCATAATGCTACAGAAAAATGCTGCTGATCTCACAGCACGTTACAACCATTGTGTTTTTTTCCAGTTTGTGGAGGAGGAAGATGATGTAAACCAGGTGGAGTAAGTCAAGAGACTCGTTTGTTACGCTCAGCACAACTTCCCGTTTCTGTCAATGTCGTCTCACCTCCGTATCTTGTTTAGAATCAAATTAAATTATATCTTCAAGCAGAAATCAACACTTCACATCATTTTAATTTAGCATTTTTATGCACTTATAACCCTCATGTAATGCTTGGCCTTACTGTTTCCACAAAAGATTTCCTCCATTCACTCAATGATGTGCTTTTGGAAAATGTGTTGAGACAAAACCCAAAGCTCAAACATGTTTAGCTGTGTGGGACARCTGGTGGTTGTGAAAGCATTGTTTGGTCAAGTCCTGGCTAATATGTGGACAGACTGCTGACACATTATGAGTTGGTGAAAATGAGGCCAAGCAGGTCTTCCTAGGCTGGATCTCAACAGGTTTCTAATAGAATTCAGTGTTTACTTACTTCTCCATTCAGTTTCTTGGTGTTTACCCTTTCTGTTCCTGTTGCAAGTCTCGTTTATGTTACATAAAACGTGACAGAAGGAGTGTAAACTTTGATACACGCTGAACATAAAATGTTACAATGCCACTGTTTTAGTGGTTGATATCAGTGTTATTTATTTTTTACCACTCAATGCAGAAAATACATCAAGCATAAAATCTTTCCTGCTCTCTGTATTTGTGTGTGGCATTGCTGCATCTGTCACTAGTGATGAATCATAAAGAGTGATTAATGATCTTTACYTCAACATTTGAAACTCTTGACTAAGGTTGTCCCAATCCAGATATTTGGGCTCCCGTTTCAATCCAATTTTCAAAAAAGATTTTTTTTCCGATACCAGTTTAATACCTGTAATTTCAAAGCATTAAAAATGCGACCAGTATTTCTTACCATTTTTATTTTGTTTTACAACATGACCAATAAAATTCCATATCTATGTACATATTTAAGAGAATGATAAAAGTTAGTTTTTTGAAGTAATATAAAGGCACAATGTGAATCCATACGAGATGTTTGAGTTGAGTTGTTTTTATTTAGTTTAGATTTTTTATTTTTTATTTTTTGTGAATTACTATTGTTTGAATATATTCTTGGAATAATATGGGTTATAATATAAGATTTTTTCTTCTTTCTGCTGCCTTTCATTTTATTTGATCTTTGATTTGTATATTTTTATTTCTATTGTTTATAGTTATTTTGCTTTTAATGAAATGAATTTTTTAAATAAAATAATAAAATAAAAAAAACTAAATTGCTTGGCTTTTGTACCATAACTTCTGAGTCATAAAAATAGCCTACAGACAAAGAATAATAATAAACATGTAGCTATTTAAACTCAACACAAATATTCATCAATTCCATTCCACTTATCTATCCATTATCAAAAATATGATCCTCTGTGCTGAAGTTAAGAGTCCACAGCTCACTGACTTGCCCAAATCAATGTAATCATTGATTAGTCTTCACTAAAAACAATAGTGTAAGCAAAAATAAACATATCAGTCTAAAAGCAAGCACAAAAACAAATGATGGTCAGTTTACTAAATCGATGGCTACCTTTTTTATGGACCCATCTTCACTTTCTTCAGTCTGATGTGGAGATTTTTTTTAGGAATATACTGTAGGCATTTTGGCATGCTGAGCTGTCAGCCTGCTCCCCTGCTCCTCATAAAAGACGCTGTGCTAAAGAGCATCTCGCTCTCAACACTCGTGCAGGGAGCTAACAGTGTCCCTGTGAGGAACCTGTTGCTGCCAGAGTGGGAGTCAAGCCTGGTTGGCTCTCCAGTAATGAACTCCCCCGATTTTATCTCATCATGGAAAACATGTGCGTGACGAGTTCTACACTCAGCTGCGACGTCTTTTTCGGAAGTACTGCCACACTGCCGTCATCACTCCTACTCTCTGCTACTTTGTTAGCACATTGTGTTGTTGTGATCATGTGAGCTCTGAATGCTGGATCCAAGCACTTCTGGGTAGAAATACTGGAGCGCACTGCTGGAATGAACTTCTTGTATTGGAGTGCTTATAGTGAAGATTTTAGATGCAGGCCAATATAATCCAATACTTGTTTTTTTTTTCCTGATATCAGACCAGGGCACCCCTTTTTATGACCCATAGCGGGGTCTTAAATATAAATCTGGGACCTACTGCATTAAATCACAACTCTAAGATGTGTAAGTGATGCAGTGTGTCTTAACGTGTTTAGGCAAGTCCCCACTTTTGTGTTGTGAATAGGGACATATTGACAGCTGTGCTGCTTTTTTTTCACTTGTTTATTAATGTAATTTCTCCAGCAGATTATGTTCAAAACCATCCATGGCATAAGATTATCATCAAAAAACAACTCACTAAGTTTTTTTAAGTTATGTAAGAACTTTGTAGTCATTCAGCGATTGTTTTTGCTTAACTTTTCCTTTCTGAAAGGGTTTTATGTATTAAGTGTATTACTTTTTTGTAGTGCTCACAAATTTGTCTAAGATCTTTGTCAGCATCTCACATTTTATTTGCTTAAAGGGATCCACAAAATTGAAAATTGAAAATTAGGGCTGCATCGATTAGTTGAAATAATCGATGACGTYGATTATGTAAATTTGTCGACACAGATTTTTTATCATCGATTCGCTGTATTACATAACCACCAGGTGAATGTTCATGCAATTCCATTTCGGTACCTAAATGCATCATTGCGACATTATTGGCATAAGAGTGGTGAGTTTTCCATGCTTGTCCTGAACGCAGCATCGCGCAAGAGCGTAATGACGTCAGCAGCCGCTGGTTCAGTTCAGTCTGAAGCTTGAAAACAAGCCTCGCAGCTCCTGGAGTAAAACTCACCGAACAGACCGCCTCTGAATTATCTGGTGGTTTAATTATCTTGTGAACATGACGTTCACTTGCTCAAAGTAAATAAAGTACCAC